GAATGCAGCTGGAGCACCAGCAGACCAGGAATTATCCCAAGCCAGAACAGAGGGCTGTGGCACAGTGGAGTCGTAGATGCCTGTTTCCATTCCAAGCCTTCCCAAGCTGCTGGAGCTGCTCTCCAGATGTAGCACACCAAATGGAAAGTAAATGCAAAGTCCTGCACTCACCCCTGCTCATGTGCCTGAGCTGCCCTCTGTGCTATCTCTACCCAGAGAAACTTTGGGAGAACTGAGGTGATGATGGAAAGTACCAATGGAGTCTAAGTTAAAATGTTTTTTAAAATAATACGTATTTTCTTTCTATATCTAACTGAAGACATCGGCTCTCTGACTAAACAAGCTGAAGCAGCTGTTGCTACAGACTGGAAAAAAAAATTGACTCCAGAGCAATTCTATGTCACAAGACAAAAAGGAACTGAACCGGTAAGCAAAAGTGCTGTGCTAATGCTGTCCAAGGGTAAGGCACCTCCTGTGCCTGCTGGGCAGAGAAAAACCTGCTCTGGGGAGCTATCACCACTCAGTTGCTTCACAGGATTTCCCCTGTCTTCCTATGGGTGAAAGTTAGACTTAACATACTGTCTGGGGTGGGTTTTGTTCTGACCCAGATTGGTTTGAAGATGAAAAAACATTCTGCATTCTTTTCATATTTTGTTGGGGGGGATTTTCTTGCTGCCAGCTCAGCTGTCTGTGTCGCAGTAGTGGAGGCCTCTCCAGAGGGGAAGGAGAATATGTTTTTGTCCTGTAGTCTTCTTTTTTTTGGCCATATGTATATCAGCCATGGAAATACTATAAATAGCACTCCATTCAGGGTATGGGTTATCCCTCATGTGCCAGTTTCCTCTTGTGCCAATTCCTTATGTGCCATGGGTTATCCCTCATGTCCACCCACATTGTCCTCATGCTTTTCTTCCTTCTGTGATGGAGGTCATGCAGCATTGTGAGTGCAGAGCTGGCATCCTCAGCCCAGAGCCAGGACTTCTGCATGCATGGAGCACATACCATGGGGATTAAACTGTGCCCAACTCTGGACCACGCAGGGAGGAGGAGAGTCCCTTTGTAGAGCCACTTTCAAGTTGTGGCCCTCCATAGCAGAGCCCTGGTCTTTGAGATCCTGCACATTTCACCAGTTTCTCAGAGGTCACGACTCCATTCCTGGTACCTGGATGATTTATATACCTGACTAGTCTCAAAGTTTCCAGGGGTAGGGGGTAGTCTTCACTGTTAATCCATAGGCATCCTCCCCTTCATTTCTTTGGGCTGCTAATGCTGCTAATGTTTGTTCTTCAAAGCCCCCCTGTGAAGCCTTCTTTTTATGGTTTTTCTCCTGTTTTGAATCTGATTCCTACATGCTTGTTCCAGATGGTGAGCTTTTAAAGACCTGCATTATTAACTCCTCTTTTTTCTTTCCTATTTTAAAAGCCATTTAGTGGGATCTACCTGAATAACACAGAATCTGGAATATACTACTGTGTGTGCTGCAATGCCCCACTCTTCAGGTAACATCCTTTGGATTTCCAGCATTCTTAACATGTCCCAAATGTGTCAGGAGGAGCAGTGTCTTTTAATGAGAGGAATGGAAAGTATTAGTCAGAGAACAATCCCTTGGTGTCAGAGTGCTATGGATAAGAATTCCAGGATACCTGTGGTGATATAGCTACATGGTACACCTTTTCCTTGAGCATATGAGGGTCTCAGGTGGCCAACAGACAGTTGCTGTGTTAGGGTCTGTCTGTTTCTCCTGCCACACACTGTTCTCTTTGGTTGGGAATAATTCTCTGTTTAAGAGGTGCCTAAGCCACAAGCTGCCACAAAATACATGTATTTATGCATGAGTATCACTGTGTGTTTGCTCAGTTCTTGTGCTCCTCCATAGTCATCTTATGGCACTCATGCTCCTGGGCTAGAGAAGCCTTTGGTGTGTCTTGCTCTAGCTGTTGTGATGTTCTTATTGCTGGGTCCCTCACATTGAAGCTGAGACCTCCTCTTCACCTCCACCCCCTCCTTGTTCCCTGAATTAAATTCCACTATTCTTGCCTTTTTGGTTACATCTACTTTTTAAAACCTGACTGCAAACAACAGCATGTTAACCTCTGTGCTCTTTACAATACTATATATTTTGCAACTTCATTAAAGTCTAAGTAAAAGGAAATAGAGTGCCTTGTAGTAAGATGTGCAGAGGGTGTTCTGTTTTCTGTAACTGAATCAGAAAAGACAGTTTCTCATATTTTTGGTCTAGAAAATAGCCCTTATTTATTCCCAACTGAGAGTTCAATGAAATGCAGCGGATATGCCCATGTTTATGAAGATTTTTAAAGGTTGCATCACAGATCAGAACTTCAGATGGGGAGCTGAGGAACAAGAGGTCTGGATAGTAAGAAAGGGGACAAAATGTGGTGGCTGTATTGAAAAAAACAAGCCTAAACTAAGCAATTAAGTGGTAAAAATGGAGGCTAATAGTTGTGAACAGTTAGCTTTCCTTTGGTCAAGTAGAGAAAACTGTTGTTATGTCAATATGCATTTGCTTAAATGCATCTTTTTCTGTAGAGGTTTGCTAATAAACACTTTTAAATAAATTTATTTCCAAAGTTAGCTCAGCATTACAAAATATTCTGAAGACAAATACAAAACCTAAATATACCTCTGGAAAATTCAAATAAACTAGACGCATTTCAAATTACTAAGCTGTGGAAGAGTTCCTTCAATTCCTTCAATTTTTCCTTCAATTTAGGCATCTTTTATATTAGACAATAGATATGGAGAGACAAACACTGGAGGGAATTGCTTCTGCTGCTAAACTAGTAAAAAACAATATAACCAAACAGGCAGACTCCTTTTTGCACTATCCAACTCTCAGAGAATATAGTCACTTTTGTTTAAAGCACAAGATAGTGCTGAGCCTTGCAGACAACAAAAGAAAAAAAGAACTTTCAGGGGAAAAAAGGCTCCATGTAAGAAGATTGGAAACTATTAAATGTGCACAAACATCTGAAAATGCATTTTCCATGGATGTAATATGTTGTGGAGAACACTAACAATGTGGGGGAGGTGGGGAATTATTATTGGATAAGAGATTCATTCATCATATTTATTTCCTAGGCCATTAGAACTGTCCTTTCTTTTTCAAATACATTAGATCATTAGCTACAGGTAAACAAGAAGTATTTCCTCCTTTCTTTGAAACATGTGTGTATACATTTATACCAGAATTTATTACCTTCTGCTACCAAATATTCATTTGAAAGAGTTGGAAATACATGGAACAAACCCCTAACCTTTATAGATAGCAAATTGTGGTGCTTAATGAAATTTCAGACCTTCATCAAACCATAAACCTACAGCTGAGATTCATACAGCAAAAAGCACTTTTTAGAATTATCTGGATTCCATCTAGGACTGAAATAGGGATCAAAGTAAATGACATGTGCTGGAGGAATGGTGTGTCGAAGGCTAATCTGATGCACATGTTTAGGCAAAGTCCATTTATCCATAAATTAAGTGGTGAAATACTTCAAAGGACAAATATTATCTTGAACAGCAATATTTTTGGGTACTAAAATGTTTCTATTAGGGAATCTAAGTGATATTACTGTTAGAAAAACCACACAGAGACCATTTCTATTGAGAGCTGGTTTACCAGCTCAAATTATTGTTCCTTTAGCAGTGGAAAACATCTACAATAAACTTAAGTATTGTGAGTGGCATGTAAGGGACAGAGTCAGTCAGGGTCAGATGCCAAACCCACATAGCATTAAAGACCTTCCTTGGCTCTACAGGGTTTCAGAGAGGATCTTTGTATCTATCTATATATGAATAAGCAGAAGGATCCCTGTGTCAAAAAATGAAGAGTTCTGACAAAAAAAAGAAACAGGACAAATATATGTAAGGGAAACTCAGGCACTCATGCTCTCCCAGGGTACTGGGGACTCTGGCTACTAGGCACTGTGTTTGTGTGGTTTTGTAGCAGGGAAAGCAGGGAGCCCTTTCTGGCTGGAAAGAAATAGGTCTGGAGCCCTAAGGACCTTCATGTACAAACATAGAGTCCACAAACTGCATTTGCTTTGGTGCAGCCTGGTTCTGTGCTGTGTCCTATTTCTCTCCAGTTTTATGGAGAGAAGGAGGAAGGAGAGCATATCTTATGGATATTTGTGCTTTGATGTAAAGGACTAAGCAACAGCCCATGCAAAAACCAGCCTTTAGTCATTCTGTGCTTGCAAATCCTCTTGTGCTTCCACAGTTGCATTTCTCAGAGACAGCCCTTTACAGATAATTATGAAACACACGCTGAAGCATGCACTGTTCTTTGGGTTGGAATTTTTAAGCTTTATGCCTAGATTGTTTGTCTTGTCTTTCTAAAGGGCACTGTGAGTAAAATACTCAGATTTTTCTTCACCGTGTTAATATCCCACCAAAATACACATGATACGTATACTAGATATTTCGGTTTACATTCTGTATCAACTAACAGACTCGATCAGATGCTACTGGTGTTGATTTCTCCATCCACCACTAGATGACAGTAAGAGCATTGGGTTTGTGAAACGGATAAAACATGGGAAATCGGTGGGGAAACAGCGGTGATGAATCTCCAGACCACTTACCCGAGTAGTATGTGAGTCTGTTTATTTCTTGCTCCACCTCACAGTAGGTCCTTCTTCCATAGGAGAAAGTCTCTATTGCTATCAAAGCTTGCACAATTTTAAATACAATGGATTATCTCATTTCTACGTGCCAAATCCCAAAAATATTTTTGGATCATATTTTTCAATATGCTCTAGGTTTTAATATGCAGCTAAAGAGTGTTGGTAATCTTGGATGTTAGCAGGAGACACCCAAAAGTTGACAATCTGTTTCTGATGGCTGTGATTATCTCTTGGGAAAAGTAGGTCTTTGCACTGTGAGGATTTGTCATTGGTTGATTGATGGTTTGAGCAAGGCTCTGTTTGATTTTCCAAACCATCTTGATGGCTGACTGCAAGCCAAAGCCATCATCATCAGGCATGAGACTGGTCTGATGGGCCAAGGCAGCCTTTGTCCATTCTTCTTTTCTTTTTGTAAACTCTCTTCTTTGAGATTGTGCTGTATTGGGCCAGGCTTCCAACTGCAGCTGTGTAGGTGTAACTCAGCTAAGCACTATGCTCAGTTGTCAGAAAAACCCTTTCCTAAGCTTCATGAAATGCCAACCTCTCACTGAAATAGAAACAGTGAGGCAGAATCTCCTGTTGTGGGCTGATCAAGACTTCCCTTTGGAAAAGAGCTTCCAGCACAGTTTGATGCCAGTGAGAAAACTTTTACTGTGCCAAATATTATTAATAGTAGTACAAGACAGGGATGAGGAAAAAAAGCCAATGTTCTTAATATCATCAGACTTTTTGTAACATCTCTGTTAGTAATTAACAAGAAGATCTGGTTTCCACTATAGCTCAGAAAAGAAGTACAATTCGGGGACTGGATGGCCATCATTTTCTGAGGCTTATGGTACTTGTGGCAGAGATGAAAGTAATACCAATATCATGAGACGACCGGATAACTCATTGGGAGCAACTAGAACTGAAGTTGTCTGCAAGCAGGTATGTTTATTTTGGAGACAATACACAAAGACACAAATCTTGACAAAAAGGTTTCCTTTGGGCCCATGAATGAATCTACCTAAATATAGCAGTGCATATTTCAGGATCACTGGAACCATTGTGTCTCACTTCTTAGTATGAAACACATAATAGAGTATCAAAATGGGCAGTCAGTTTGGGATGAAGAAAAGTATGTGACTGGGGAAAGCAGTTGTGTGAGTATAGCTTAGGGCTGGAGTTTAAACGGAAAATTTACTCAAAGGACCTCAGGGTGGTGACAACAGACAGTAGAAGGGACTCTGAGATAGGTTCCATGCATTTGGCCCATCACAGGGACAGTTCTTCCTAGTTCAGTCCTGCTAAATATTTGCTGAAGCTGTTCTTAAAATAACCAGTGATAGAGAACCACAGCCTTGCTAGGTAAGGATTTGTAACCTGTATGTTTTCCTGCTGTTGGTTAGACACTGGGGAAAGCACTGTTTGCTTTGCAGCCAGTGAAGCTTATTACCATTTGCCCTGTATGGTGATGGCTGTGCCCTGCATCTCTGCAGCTATTTTCTGTGGTCTCTCTTGTTTCACAGAAGCCACCCTTCCATTTTTATAGCTATTTTAACTCTCTCAATCACCTCTTTTCTAGACTAGAAAGATCCAGTTCTTTCAACTGTTCCTTTTTATGCAGTGATTTTTAGTGTGCTGATTGTCCTGTTGCTCTATTTTGCATTCTATTCAATTGACTGTTCTCCTTCCTGAAGTACAGTGCAGAGGTGGACATAGTGCTGCAGTTGGGTCCAGCCTGCATCAGAGGTTAGATGTGTTATAGATGGTGTTCCTGTCCTTACACCTATACCTTTCCATAGCCCGTGACACATACTTGTTTTGGGACCTGCTCTAGCCCCCAGGTCCTTTTCTGAAGAACTGTCACCTCAACCATTTCTTCCCAACCCTAATTCTGTTTATTACTTTTGCTAAGGTATAAAAGTATGCAATTGAGTTTAATGAATTGCATCTTGGGTTTGTTTTTTTGGCTGGTTTTGCCTGTGTGTGTCTGTTTTTCCAGACTGTTAAGATTGTTTCTGCTGTCCTTCAGTGTGCTTGCAGCCCCTTCTAGCAGGGTTAGGTACAACTGCAAGTGTAACAACCATTCACTGTAGTCCATTATCTTGGTAGAGTTCACGTTTGCAACAATATCCAACAAGCACCTTTCAAGAATGCCAGCTGCAGACAACCTTCCAATTTATAATGATAGCTATAGTGAGGCTAATTTTTTCACACCAGTAACTTGGGGGGGAGAGGGAAATCTTCAGTTGATCTGTAGGAAAGACCTACAGTGACTGTCTTAATTAACTTGAAATGTTAATAATATATTGAGATGTTTAGATCCTGTCATTTATTTCCTATACTTTCTGATGTTGGTACCTTTTGACTTCCTCTTCTGGGCTCTGCTTGTTTGGTGGTAGATATTTGCCCACTGGCCAGAGGTGATAACTCCAGGATGTATTACTAGTCTCTCCCCAAGACTCCACCACCCACACAACTCAACAGTGAATTAATCATACAAATTTCTTAATTCAGGATAGTACAGTAGGTACCAGCATGATGTTGGTCATAATTGCAATGGTAATAATGATTTCTGGTCACCAGTGGTATTCCCCAGGGCTCAGTATTGGGCCCAGTCCTGTTTAATATCTTTATTAATGCTCTGGATGAGGGTATCGAGGGCACCCTCCATAAGTTCACAGATGGCACCAAGTTGGGTGGGAGTGTTGGTATTCTGGAGGGTAAGAAGGCTCTACAGAGGGATCTGAACAGGCTGAATCAATGACAAGAGGCAAATAGTATGATGTTCACCAAGTCCAAGTACCAGGTCCTGCCCTTGTGTCACAACAACCCCAGGGAGTGCTTCAGGCTGGGGGAAGAGCAGCTGGAAAGCTGCCTGGTGAAAAAGGACCTGGGGGTGTTGGTCAACAGCAGCTGAACCTGAGCCAGCAGGATGCTCAGGTAGCCCAGAGGAAACGGTCTCAAGCTGCACCATGGGAGGTTTAGGTTGGACATCAGAAGGAATTTCTTCATGGAAAGGGTTGTTAAGCATTGGGATGGACTGCCCAGTGAGGTGGTGGAGTTACCATCCCTGGAGGTGTTCAGGAAATCACTGGTCGTGGCACTTAGTGCCATAGTCTAGTTGACAAGGTGGTGATCAGTCAAAGGTTGGACTTGATGATCTGAGAGGTCTTCTCCAACCTAAATGATTCTCTGATTCTGCAATAATGCAATAATAAAATGGTAATAATTTCTGTTGCAGTGTGATGCCCATCCAGGCCATGTGTTTGATGATGGTCCCACACCTTCTGGGCAGAGGTTTTGTATCAACAGTGTTTCATTAAACTTCAAAGCAGGCTCTGATCAATGAGAAGTGGATCTCTGTGGCTTACAGAACATCCTTTCTCTGCTCATACAGTACACTTGTGAAAAACTCTTATGCTTTTAATATATAACTCAAATTTTAGTATTTATTCCAGTGACTTTGTTTTCCAGTTATTTTCAATGTTGATAAAATACATATTTTTGCCATAACTCTTTGGCTATCAGCCTTTTCATGGTTAGTGTGATGCGTTCATCTGCTTATTCTGTTTTTTTAATTAAAAAAAGATCTGTGCAATAGTTCACATTCATGACTGTCATCAGTAACTGTACTGAGGCTGCTGAAATGAGGTGCTCTCCTGATCCTGACTGCCTATGCTGAATGGTAGTTGTGGCATCCAGGAACACAGATGTACATGGCTGATCATGACAGAGCTTTTATTTCTGTAAAATCATCATATCCCTCTAAAGGGAAGCAAAAATAACATGAATCTTCAAATAAGGTTTGAGGGGGGGTTTTATCCCCTCATGTAAGAGACCTTTATCTGAGCCAAGTGACTTTTCCATGAACCCATAAAAGCAAAGTCCCAAAGAAGGGCCTAATTAAAAATACTCCAGGCAACAGAACCAGTGGAGACACAGAGTTTTTCTTCTTTTAAATCAGGATTTTGATTCTGTGTCCAATAGCAGAGCTGAAATAGGGTTTACTTCAGGAACTTCCTCTTACAGCAATAATATGATACTCATGTAACAATATGTGCAATTTTACCAGACTTCTGTTACCACTTGTATATTTTAGAATCTGAAAATAAAAATGAATGTGAAATTTACTGTTTTGGGGGGGGAAAATCAGCATCAAAAAAACATGTTCAGTAAAGTTCTGCTTCTGTTGAAAACATGTCTTCCTATTCTTCTTATAAACCAAGTTTATAAATACTTCTGTATTCTCCCAAGCATTGTCATTATGGTTTGTTCCAACAGAAAAATAAATCCTGTGTTTGTTAAATTGAGCTTTCCTGCTTTCACATTTTTTTCCAGAGAAAATAGTCTCTGAGTCAGAACATCAGCTTCGCTAAACTGGCTGGGTTTAAATGCTTCCCTGCTGAGAGTTACTAGGCAACATCTCATTTGGCTTTACCTATAACAGACTGTTTCCATTCTCTCCACTTTGGTTGCCTCAGTAATAAAAAGGGTGTGTTCATTTACTAGTAGTCTTAAAACTGTCTAATGTCTTCAGAAAATGGACCTCTATTGCACTGAATTTACTTTCATCCCTTCTGTCTTGGAGCTCTGCAGTTTATCATTCTCCTGTGCTTTCTACAGGAGAACTACAATTCCATAACTTTTAAAAAATATCATAAACAACAGTGATCACTACAGCCAACCTAAACCAGAACAGCACAAAGGCCACCAGAGGTGTAAAGCAGAATGAATGAAGCAGATGCTGCTACAGTATATGTAGTGTCATAGATGGTGACAGTCATGTTGTCATCAGAGGTGGCTGTGAGCAGTGACAGCCTCCTGCTTGCTGTGCCTGTGCTGCATCATGCTCTGCCACGAAGGGAAGCCCTTGCACCACCAACTGCCATCTCCTGCCTGCTCCCACCAGGCTGTATGGGTCCAACCCGCTCAGGTCTCTGCTCTCAAGAGTCTTCACAGGTTGTACAGATGTCACTGTCTTTGTACACTCTGTGCCCTTCCATCCTGATATACTTTCATCCACCGTTTGTTTGCTTTTCTTCGAATCTATTGCACAGCTGCTGGAAAGGGTATGTGGCCTTTAAAGACATTCTTTAGTCACACAGTCCTCTCCTCTGTCCTTTCACAATAGGAGAGGGTTCTCTCAGAAAGGAGGAAGGTCTTCCCAGCTAGACTCCTGTGTTCAGCCAGGTGCTGGTGGAGAAGCCAGCACCTCCCTTAGTACAGTGCCTTTTGGCTGAGGTACCAAATGGAAATGCTCCTCATTTCTGTAAATGGCAGAAAGTAGAAGAGAGCTGACAAAATACCTGGTTTTTGCCTACCCCCAGAGATACCAGGTCTCACTGACACTTTTTGCAGATGAAAGTGCCACACAAACAAAATAGACCATGGAGTTGACAAAACAAGTATCCACACAGACTATGCTCAGTTTAGTACCTTGGATGTACATGGGTGGTGGAGGTCAACTGTTAGTGAACTGCTAAGTTAGTTGATATTACTGACAGAGGAGGTTTGCCTGAGCAGAGAGTCCATTTATTTTAGTGCCTCCTCACTCATACAGCAGGATGACTTGAGGAAAGAGTCTGGTAAGGCTTAGCTGGTGTAGTATTACAGATACATAATCACGTGAACAGACCCATATCTTCAAGAACAGCACCTGACCTGCACTACCTTGATATGTCACCAAGCAAACAGCATAAACCTCCTAAGAAACCAGACACTGAGCTAAGCAACCATGTTCTGCTTCAAATGAAATAGGGAGAAAGTGGAAAGTTTGGCTTTGACTGTGCATGTAAAATCAGAGTAAATGAAATAGGGAGAAAGTGGAAAGTTCGTCTTTGACCGTGCATGTAAAATCAGAGCAATGGCACATCATCTCTCAGTGTGTTGTGAACTCCTTGACATCCAGGACCTGTAACCATAAGCTCTTTGGGCAGTGCATTTCATTATTTCCTGTGTCTGTGGTACCAACCACACTAGGACATATCCCAGCAAAAGGTCCAAAGTGCTATAAGATCATGAATAATAAAGCCCAATAATAATGAAAGGCACTATTAAAATGTATCATAGGCTACAAGAATTTCCACATGTACCTGCAATGACTTTGTTCCACCATAGTGAATAAAGATCATTTCCTTCTCTGAGCTGAATATACTCTGCCAGGCAATGGCAGATTTATGCTTCATCCTTCACATCTGAAAAGTTTTTCAGCATGGTTATTTCATTAATTAGTTTCAATGATGATGCGTTTTATCCCATTGTGTTTTAAAATAACCTTTTTATAAATCCTAATTGAGGTTTCTACATAATTCTTAAGAGATTTTAACGTCTTAAATAAACTGTTTAAAGACATTCATAGTCTTTGCAGTGTCTTTACAAGGCAAGTAATTATTCTCAATTTTACTGAGGGAAAACGATGAGAAGAATTTAATTGACTTGCTCAAGACTTCAAATTAAATTTGCAGCCAAGCCAGAATTAGACTCTGCATGGCTCATAACAGCATCCATATCTTCAGACCCAGGAGGGGGTGTGTGGTAAATTATCTAAAGAGAGGAGGTAAACCTAGCATATGTTTTTGCAGCTATGGTATTAAAACCAAAGCTAAGCCAGCTTGGGTAACTTTGGCTCATAAAGAGCAATACTTTACCACTTTCTCAGAACTAAGGTGCTAAAGGCTTGGTTAGAAGTCAGACCAAAGAAAGACAAAAAATAAGAAAGAAGGAACAGGTTACTCTTATATTACTAGAAACTCCATGCTCCTTTCATCAGAAATTGAATGCCCATTATTTTAGCTATGTATCCACAGAACAGTTGCACCATGCTGCAAATCATTTGGATTCTTTTTTAAACTTGTTGGCAGCCTAGTCTGATTTTGGTCAGAACAAGAGAAGAAGGGATACTTTTCTCAGAGCAGAAATAGGATTTTGCCACCCCTGAACATCTCCAGCATGTGGTGGCTCAAGGGTCAGCCTGCATGAGAAGGAACTGGAAAAGACTCGGCCTGGGTTTTGCTGGTTCTCTGAGTATTTAGCTAGTACTCCTAAGCATGTTTGTATTTTCTGGTCTTATACCTTGGCCTTACTGTGTAGAAGAAATAAGTCCTGTCATCACACAACTGAACTGTCTCCTCTTCCATTCACTTAATGACTTTTTGCACTGGGCAGTGAAGTGTTTTAAACTATATCCCTGTGCCTGTCCCACCTCCTTCTATACCGAAGTGATGAGCTGTTGGTAACACTACCCTCACAGCATGTCATACACTGCTCAGCACCCCATCACCCTCATGGATTTCACAGCTCTTTACACACAAATGATGCCTAGCCCCAGCCCTTTGAGGCAGTGGTGAGCCACATGTCACAGAATAGGAAGCTGAGGGACAGCTGTGGGAAGTGACTCGCCCACAGTCTCCTGGGGCAGGGCAGGGCAATCTGGTTACAGAGAGGGTTCTCAAAAGCTCTCCAAGTGCGAGCTGCTGCCAAAATTCACAAAGGCAAAGTAGTTTAAAAGCAAAGCTCTTTATTGAAGAAGTGCCCAGATTTTTTCACAACTAAAAGAATTTGTCTCAAGGCAGGTGTGTCCATGGGGACTGGTTTTAGTAGCACTGAGGAATTTGTGTGGAAGAGATTGGCAGTTTGCCACGGGGCAGAAGAAAGAGAAATTCATGCCCATTATTGCACTCCCTTTTACTGTCTTCTCTTTTGTTGCAGATGTTTTGGCTTTTTCCTTTGCTCTGTGGTATCCTTCCTCTCTCCTCCTCAGAAATCCCTCTGTAATATCCCCTGGGCTCTGGCTTTCTTTACTCCACTCACCCTCACCTTGTGCCTGAACCCTCCAAGCTCCATAAATTGTTGGCTCCCCTTGGTGCCAGAGAGATGAGCAAGCACGAGGTCCTGCACCCATGTCTGAGTCAGCAGCTACCTGCCCATGCTGGAGGTGACTGTGAGGATCTGGCCTGCAGGCTCTGGGGAGGTTGGTAGAGCTAACATTGACTGCACTCCTCTTGCTTTGCACACACAATTTGACAGCATTTACAAAGTGACTTCCAGAAAAAATCATCGGGGACAGAAGAGTTGCCACAGAAATCAGGAAAAAGACAATAAAAGAGTCATCAGGGATGCTCAAGTGGCCTGCTTAGTTCTGGAAACAAAGGGTGTGCTGCCCTGCCATATTACTGATGCATGGGATGTAGAAATGTGGACCACAGCCAGGTCAGCTTTGCTCAGGTGTCATTTGTGGAAGATCAAAAGATGAATCCAGGCATACTTTAATAGGAAGGAAAGGAACAGGAAAGAATAGCAACTGTTGCCCAACTGCTAAGAAAGAGGCAGAAGCAACACAGAGGAAGGTGT